CTAGGGTGTCATGCTTGGCCACTGCAAAAATCCCACTGTGTCTGTGTCTGGTACGGCTAGTTATAGTCGGCTGTCGGCTCGGACAGAGAGCTAGTTGAGAAGAATGGAACTGAGACGGAGTGGCAAGTGTCTTTTATCAGTTAATATTGGAGACGGTTTCGGTGTAGCAGACCGCTGGATGCTGGTTCCGCTGATCAGTATTATTATCACTTTGACCAAACGAGTCTGTTACGATAAATACGACCCTCTTTGTGGCAGGCCCTCGTTTATATTGGCGTGTGCTGAACGCTGTATGTAGATTTCACTAAATGTTGCATTGCAAAGCGCCACAGGCTGTGGCGTAGACAGTGGGGGGCCATGGGGGCCATGCCCCCCCCCCTTTCCGCCCAGCCGCCCAAATGGCGCCTCAATTAGCGCCGACTAGGCTGATGCCGTTTTACAGAGAGAACATGAATTAAAAAGTGATGTGCAGGCAGGGATCGAACTCAATATCTCTTTGGGGGTGCCTGGACACCTAAATAATCTCCAGGGCACCCCCAAATACGACCTGAGCCCCCAAATGTTGAAGGGCGCCCCTCCGGAAACCAGAATATTCCGAACCTCCAGGGTCGATGGCGCCCCTGAAGAGCCGCTGGCACCCACCTAAACGGAACAGTCGCCCCATTAAAGCTTGATGGCGCCCCTCTAGAGCACCCGGCGCCCCTCTGAAGTTCACAGCTGCCCCAATCGACCCATCCAAGATCGATCCCTGAAACCACTGGCGCCCCTCTAAGGCACCCGCATTCTTCTCAAGATCACAGTCGCCCTATCCGAGATCAATAGCGCCCTCAAGAGCCACTAGCGCCCCACCCCCTTGAGACTGAAGTCGTCCCGCTTGAGACTAAAGTCGCCCCATTCAAGCCCAATGACGCCCCTCCAGAGCGTCCGGCGCGCTTCTGAAGATCACGCCCATCTAAACGAAGGTTACAGCTGCCCCATCTTAAGATCGATGGCAGCCCTCTGAAACCAATGGCGCCCTTCTAGACTACCCGGCACCCCTCTGAAAATCACATTCGCCCCATCCGAGACAACGCCCCTGGAGACTACAGTCGGCCCACCCAAGCTCAAGCCCCTCCAGAGCCTCCCTGCGGCGCCCTGCTGAAGGCAACAGTGGCCCCATCCATGCCCAATGGCGCCCCTCAACGCCGTTCTAAAGATCACAGTCGCCCCATCAATCCGAGGTCGCTGGCGCCCCTCAAGAGCCACTGGCGCTCACCTGAACCGGGGCTTCAGTCGGCCCATCCTTGATCAATGGCGCCCCTCTGAAACCACTGATGCTCCTCTGAAAATCCCAGTCGGACCATCCGAGATCAATGGCGCCCCTCCAGAGCGTCCGATGCCCTACTGAAGGCAGCAGTGACCCCATCCAAGCATTGCACCCCTCTAGAGCACCCGGTGCCCTTCTGAAGATCACATTCGCCCTATCCGAGGTCGTTGACGCCCTCCAGTAGTCACTGACGCGAAACTGAATTGGATACTTCGGTCGCCCCCCCCCCCCCCGAAACCACTGACGCTAGGCAATTTTTTGACAATGGGGCTTTCTCATCGACACCAAGGGCCCTTTTCAAGATGCAGCAGCTAGGCGGCGCCGAGCTGGGCTTGGATGTGCCAAGCGAAGCGTTCCTTATTAGGCAGCCTTGTAAGTGCCACCCTCGTTGCGATACCGCCCCTCAACGCGACGCTGCCCCTTCACCGTACAATGCCACCCCTCAATGCAAGTTGCGCCCCTCAGCGCTGTGCCGCCCATTATTGCGATGCCGACAGCGCCTAGCAGTGGGGTGCCGCCCCCAGCGTAAGCGTTTTTTTATTGAACCTGCTGGGGGTGTTCGAACACCCACTTCTAACTCAGCTTGTGGGCCACGTCGAGACACGCAGTAGGCGGCGTTCGAAAGAGCGTCAAAAACTATTACAAAACTACTTAGATCATTTTAAGGCTAGGTCGAACTGGTCGAAGGTCAGGTCACCAGCGACAACCGAAAATCAAATTTCGCCGATGTTGACATTTTTTGACAAAGCGGCGCATAAGTCAGGATTCAGAAAGAGATTGAACTACAGCGCCGCAGCAAAGCGCATATTCGATAGCTCTTTTTTATGCTCTCTCTTATTGATTATCTCAGATTTGACCTAAGGTAAACGTTTTAGCCTCAAAATATACGTTTTCGCGGAGGACGTTTACATTTTCCTCAGACCTGCATGAGATTAGTTCAACCAGCATCGTGTTCCATTTTTCGAGACAGACAAGTCAAATGAACTAGAATTTGACATTAAAAGGGCATTTGAGAATTTGACCTAAGGTAAAGGTCATAACCTAACCGGTAAAGGTCATATTGCATATTAGTCGATCCATACTTTCGAGAAGGAAAATAATTATATAGTGTTTCATTGCTCTACCATATCTCTATCAAAAGTTATTGTCCAAAATCTACTGGAGACCTTTCATGACCTGAGATGACCTCAGTAACATAAAAGTGGTCACATCACGAGTGACATTTAGCGATTAAATGTGTCATATTTACCTGCATCCCGATGGTTGAGGTTGTTTTCGTTCAGAAGAAGAGCATTTCAACTGTCTCCCATTGATCCGCGCCGTGCTGGAGGGGGGGGGGGGTACGCCCCCTTAGGTTTTTTCCTCGCGAACATCTCAAAAACGGCGTCGCGCAGCGCCTCCGCTGTCTTTGGTACACCTGTTCATACATCTTTTCTACACAGCTTGTTAAATTTCAGATGAGGGTCGTTCAAGGTCAGGTCACTAGGGCACGTCAAGTGACCTTACCTAAAAAAAGTTAAAAGACCCGCTATAGCTTCACCGACAGAACGATCACTTTTGAAACTTTTAGAGATTGATAAGACTAACAATAGGTATGCATAAAATGTTCATCTCGGACTTTTTATGTCTGTGACCTAAGGTCAGGTCAATTTTGGGACCTCAAGTCAGTGGGAGAAAAGTGAAATGCGCCTCTTTTGGACGAATGTCGTTTAAAACCCCTTAAACATCGGTTCATAGGTAAACATAGCACACTGAATCGTAAAAATGCACATGTGTCCTTTTATGTGCCCTTGAGGTCATCTCAGGTCATAAGCGGTCACCTATTTTATCACCATAAACGGTTTTTTTGGCTTCATCTTTTAATGGAGACGTGCTAGAGCGGTGAAAACACGTCAGATGTGGTCAGCTCGACGATACGGATCGACTGATCTGCAGAATGGCCCTTTACGGTCAGGTCATGACCTTGACCTGCGGTCAAATTTTTAAAATAACCTTTCAAGGTCAACGTATAGTTCATTCGACGCGTCTCGACGAGAGGAACACGAGGCAGGCAAAAGAAATATCGTCACTGTCTTGAACCAAATGTTATTGCAGAAAAACGCTTTTCATAAAAACTGTTATTTTTGGAATTTTTGCCCTCTGGCTGGAGGCTTAACCATTGACCTGAGATCAAATCCGAGAGCAATATTCAGAAAAGCCTGTAAAAGGGCTATCGAATGCGCTTTTCCGCGGCGCTGTAGCTCTATTGGTTCCCGAGTTAGCCGTTGGCAGTTTCCAAAATTGTTGAAATGGACTCAATTTTACCTTTGATGACCTCTGGTGACCTGACCTTTGACCTGACCTAAAAATTGAAACGAAGTCTTTCCGTCATTATTTTTGACGCTCTTTCGATTTCCCCTTACCGCGTGTCGCTACGTGGCCCAGGAGCCGAGTTAGAGGGGGGACGTGAAAACACCCCCCCCCCCCCCAGCACGACACGGAAAGCACAGGCCACCAGCACGGCGCGGGTTAACTTATAGGTAATCGGTAACTTATAGGTACTTATAGAGAGGTAGCAAAATTGAACTGGCCCTCAATGAAGATATTTGAGAGGCTGCAGTCCACAGGTCATTTTGGTTCAGTGAGTGAACCTGTATGTTTTTTTTTGCAAAGAATAAAGATTGTGCCAATCGATCAACGCATATTTTACCGTTTCGAATTCGAATGGGTGTGTATTATGAGAATAACATGTCCGTAGCCTGAGCTCGTTTCCTATATCGTGCTAAATATGCATAAAGATTTTTTATCGCTTTTGATAAAAAACACTGAGCTGCAAATTGCATTAATTGGATTTCATGAAAAATCAGCGAAACCTGGTTCTGATACTCGTGCCGGTTCCGTAGGAACACCTAGTAAATCATGCATGAATATATGACGCTACATTTTAGACTGACCCCCTGTCACTAGCTCACTATGGCGCCCCTCTCAAGGGAAAAAGTCGCCCCCTCGAGCACCATGGCCCCCCCCCCTTTCGCTGATTTCTGGCTACGCCACTGGGCCCACAGCCACCCCAACAAGCATCGGTCATATTTATTTCTGTTGCCATCCCTGATCCATCAGCTCAGGAACAAACACATTAATTTCTGTCCGTCACCTGCCTGGCTGTCATGTTTTCGCCGTGCTGCTGGTTTACTGCAAATGCTCTCAATAGATGGCAGCAGTAGCCAACGCCTGAAGGTATACTGTGCCGCAATGTTTCATGCGCCAACGCCGGCCCAGCGGCATTGGCTAGGTTACCTGGAGCCCGGTGTTGACGCGTCTGAGTCACTGCTGGCTGACTGAGATGGCCAATGTTTGCCAATCTCTCTGAGATTACTCAGACGACACGTTTGACTCACCGCTTCAACTCGTGCTTCTCGGCACCGTGCCGTATTCTGGCTCGCCGCGCTGCCTTCTGACAGAGGTCGGTGACATTCACTCACGTGTAGGGACAAGGGAGACTAACCATGATCGCTATCGCCAGCGTCCCCATGGCATAAGATAAGGCACTTTAACACGCGTTACAACTTCATATGACCAAAACTAATTTTAAAAACCTGGTATCACTTACGAGAACTTGAATATGAAGTTATGGCTTCAGCATCCTGAGCAAGGATAGAACGTCTAAACGATGTTAGTCAGAGATAGTAGGTAACTGAAACGGTTCTGTTTTTAGGACCGGTGGTCAGAAGTGATCCGGAATCTCATATACCTGCACTGGCAGCGGCATGCAGCGAAGTGAAGATCCTGTGGCCCTGTTGCGTAACCCTGAGTAAGACCGCATCTCTTGGCTCAGATCCAGACCGTCGACGAAACAACAACAGAGCGGAACCGACGCCGTAACGGACGACTGTCTGAGCAGGGCGGGAAGGAGCCAGACACCGGCCCGTGACCCCGGCTCGCTGGACTAACACCGGGGACGGCCGTGACAGTGTGACGTCACACACACACCCTGTGGTGACGTCACGGCGCGGCCAAGGTCGGCCCGCGGTGCCCACCTGTGCCGCTGCGCGCGGCGCCGTCTGGCGGCCACTGTTTATGGGCGGCGCGCCGTTCGCCGGCGGCTCGGCAGCCGGCCGTCGCCGCCGCTCCAGTCAGTGCGCGGCGGTTCGTAAGTGGGGAGGTGTGCTGCCGCCGAGCCGTGACCGTGTGCGGCGCGTCCGTCATGTCTCGCCGCGGCGCCGGCCGTTTCTCACTGTTCGCTGAGGATGGCGGTGATTTTGGCGCGCTGCCGACATCGCCGCGCAGCCGCACCGTGCTCGGCGCCGCCCGTGCCAGCATGGACTTGGACCAGTTGCGCTCCGAGCTCCACCGCCGGAGCGACGCGGACGGTGAGCCGGGTGAGGACTTTTTCGGCGACAGCCGCCTGCGGTTTCAGCAGCTGCTGGACGGCGGCAAACTGGGCGCGAGGCGACGCTCGGGGGACGATCGATTGGCACAGCTGATGGGTACTACGGGCCCCGGGCCGGGCGGCCCGCCCGCCGACGGCCTCCAGTCGCCCCGGGAGCCGGCGGACGCCACCCCGGAGCCCGAGCTGCTGCTGGGCAGGCCGCGGCCCTCGCTGCTGGCCAGCCGCTCGCCGCTGCTGGCCGATCGGTCCCTGCTGGCCGGCAGGTCGGGCGGGCTGCTCGGCCAGCCGGGCCGGCTGAACGGCAGTCTGGCTGGACGTACCGCGGCCGGCGGCGTGCTCAGCTCGGCCTCCTCCAGCGCCGTCGTCAACTCGTCCTCGTCGTCCTCGTGCGCCGCGGTCAGCTCGTCCAGCTCTGTGGTGAACTCGTCCAGCGCCGTCGTGTCCAAGTCGTCCTCGTCCAGCGAGCTGCTGAGCTCGTCCGGCGACGGCCGGGCCGTGATGGCCGCCGGCGCGGACGCGGTGGCGCCGCTGCCCAACGTCACGTCCAAGCGTCAGCAGACGTTCCAGCAGTCGCGCACGGCCTCCAACACGACGTTCAGCCAGTCGATGGACGGCGGTCCGGCGCAGTCGAACGTGGTGCGCCACTCGGAGCAGCAGGAGACGCACTCGACTACCGAGAACGGCGCCACCAGCGTGGCCCAGCAGCGGCGCCAGCAGCACGAGGCGGCCACTCTGACGGCGCACAACGGCCAGACGCGGCTGGAGGCCGAGCGCGCCGAGCTGGATCAGAAGATGGCCGCGCACACGGGCACCGACGGCGTCACCGAGGTCCAGGAGGAGATGGAGGCACGCGGCGGCGTCCGCCAGGCCACCTTCGAGCACGACCAGGACGGCGTGGCCCAGCCCGTCACCAGTTCCGGAAAGGACTTTGAGGCGCGCGCCCAGCTCGAGTACACGCACGAGGCGGCCGAGGGTGGCAGCGGCCAGTTCAAGATCAATAGCGGCCCGGCGGCGGGCGGCGGCGGCGCGGACGGTCCCGCCGGCCGGCCGCCCCCGCTCTGGCGGTTCTCGGCGTTCGGGCCGCTGATCCAGCCGCCCAGCGGCAAGATCCGCGGCCAGGTGTCCATGCAGACGTCGCACAGCATGTTCAGCTGCCAGGCCGGCGCCCTACCCAGGTCAGTGCCCGCTCTCTCCACCCTCCCTCCCTCTCGCGCGCTCTCTCACACCCCACACCTGTCGTTGGGTGGGGCGCGCCCCTCCCGGCGCTGTCGGGGCTGAAATAGACGGCTTGTCGGCCATTTCAAAGGGAACGGCCGGTATGCCGGTCAGGGACCTGGTGGGGCTCAGCATGAAGTGAACTCCACCGGAGAGGGATAGTCGCCGCTTCTGACTGTGGCTCAGTTGTGGTTTGGTTTGCATGGGACCATATTGGAGCAGTATTTGCTACTCATGCTGCGATTGGGCCAACCAATTTTGGCGCTATGGAATAGAGTCCCTTGTCGTTATCTAAAACATAGAGTCCCTTGTCGTTATCTAAAACATAGAATCCCTTGTCGTTATCTAAAACATCAGCTCTGGACTTGCCACGCTTATAACGAAGTCTCTCATGTCCATGTGTAGGTATACAGTACGGTCTTGAGCATAAAAATACATAGTACCTATGGATGGGGTCAGATAAACGAAACATTAGCACGTAAATACAGTGCTTCGAAGTATTCGACAATCATCGGCATAAAACAATGAAATTGAAAACGAATTGAGTCGTCATGTTTCTCACCGCCCAGCGAATCAAATTGGGTCACCGCCGCTTGAATTAGGGCACAAGCAGATTGAGCTGGACGGCCTTTTCCGCGGCTGCTAATTGAATTGGCTCACTGTCTGCGATGATTGCATTTGGGCGCTGCTTTCACGCCCGGAGGCAGCTGCGAACGAGCATCAGCGGGTGCGCGGATCCATTAGGGCTCATTGTGTCCGGTCTCCCCCGCTCCCCAGCCGCGCCGAACGGCAGAAAATACTCCTCCATAGGCATAGTTGTAAAGCTGGGCTCGTTGTTCACGCAAATAAACAGTCCATAAAGCCATGAGAAAGTGTGTGTTCCATGGCTTCAATTACGTGGTTGTAACAGTTAATGATCTTGTAAGGAGTATAGTCACCGTGGTAAGGAGTAGGTGCCTGACCGGCTAGCGTTATGTTTCTGTCTCAGGACAGAAAAGTACAGAACTAAAACTACAGACAGCTGTATAGACATTACTTTTATGTAACACGACTTATAAATCATAATATAGATATCCTAAATCGTTTGTAAACACGATTATCTACACATCTAGATACTATAACATATTCCCATTTTATTCACTTATCCACATTTTCTTATAGGTATCTCTAGCTTATGTATGAATGTGCGTCGTACGCCTAGCTATGTATATTCGAATTCCTCGTATCAATCGTCAATCGACATCCATTGTAGTTCAAAATGGCATAGTAAGCCAACTACGACGCCCGTGACGGGCTTCGTACCCTAGCCCACTCCCCCGTGCATCCCCTCCGTCCCCCTCATGCACGCGCCAGCCCCCGGGCACAGTACTGCCGTGCACGGCTGGGTCGATATTGATTGGCGCGAGTGCCGGTGGTCGTTCCCCGTACGGCCACCGACCCCAGCCTCCGCGGGACGGCGAGCGCTGGCTGCTCACGACTCACGGAGAACCGACGCGGCCAACCGAGTCACGGACCAATTGAGTCACGGCTAACCGATTCATGAACCTACCGATTCTTGGAATCACAGTGAGAGTCAAATGAGAGTCACGGACCAACTGACTCATGAGTCACGGGCCAACCGAGTCATAGACTCACTGACGTTCGAAGTCGCCTAGGTTACACACATAATCGCTGAGACCCACCGCTCACCAGCACTAACAGTACGAAGCCGTCAAAGCGTGACGGTGTGTCGTCTCAGTTTTGTGACTCAAGGAATTATTGTGAGTTACGTTTCCAATAGGCGACAGCGAGTCTTTTCGCCATGTGGCCATATCTGAGGAATTTCGTTTCGGTTGCATCGCGTTTCGTGCCTCGCTGATTGTCGCAGCAGCATTATGACACGTGTCTGTCCAATTATGTCCGACAGGCTCGCTCGCTCTCGCTGCCTCAGAAAGTGTACACAAACCGGTCTGTACACAAACAGCCCGCTGTCCCATTGTCCGTGCCAGCGGAGACGGTGAGCGGCGCTGGCAGCTGAGCGGCCCTGTGACCGACAGACGCCTGTCTGACACTGTCGCTGTCAGGCGGCCGGCGATGGACAGGTGCCCGGTGGCGTAACTCGTGTCCGGACAGACGTTGCGTGACGACGGACGCCCACGGTCCGCGCCTCACCGGCCAGGGTCGCCCTCCGTGACGGCGCACCGCGGCCGACTTGGCTGCCCCTCGCCAGGCCGGCCCCGAGCTTAGAGGGACTGGGGACGCTCCGTCTCCGGCCGCTCCTGGAGGCACGGACTCGCGTGCCCAGTGAAGAGCGATGGCGCCCATTAAAAACCGATGGCTCGTAATCGCGTTTGGCCCGGTGCAAGACAGAGTGCTGATAGACACGACTGGCTGACGAGTCTCGAGGGAACTGACGGCCGGTCTCGGCTGATGGCGGCTGATTTGGGCTGACGTGCCGCCGTCAGACGTCATGGGGTGACGCCAGCGCGGCGTTCCGGCGGCGGCCAGGTGCGAGTGGTCAGCGCGGCAGCGCCGGGCGGACCGCGGTGCGGTCATCGGACTGCCAGCGGACAGGTGTGCGCTCGCCGGCCCACCGCGGCCCACCGCTCCCCAGGAGGGATGTGGCACCCAGCCGACCGGCTCATCAGCATATTAAACAGCAGCCAGATGCGGGCGGTAGCCGCCGCGGAGGCGCAGCCTGGCCCCCGGCCGCCGCTGTCGGCCGCGCAGTTCTCGATGAATTGGGGCGACAGCTCGACGCGTCTCTCCTGTTCAGGGCTGTGCTAATACGCGGCTCGTGTACTGGATTAACACGACGAGCGGCGCGCCAGAGGTGTTCGGCTCCTGCCAGTGTATGTAACAATAGACTGGAACAGGTCTGGGGCGCGGCGCCCCCGCTCCGCGCCTGTCGGGGCGGCTGGATCAGTTCCAGATCCACAATGAAGGTCGGCACATGGGCTGCGATGGCAGCTGAGCGTGGTTCATACGTCGGCCGAACGAACCGGTCCGCTCCGGTTGGCCGGCAGTGATACGGTGCACACGCGTGCCCCACTCCGCTACCTACCGGCCGCCTGCCGTGAGGAGGCTGACTGCACGCCCGATTAAACGTGCAGAATTCGCACATACCTACCTGTTTTGATTCAAAAGTCACCTTGAAATTTGAATGGACCGTTTTTCCCGCACCGTTTTTTTTTTAACCACGTTGGCTATGCATAAGAAACATGAGTAGAGGTAAACACGCGCGCAGCATAATTTGTATTCTTCATGATAATGTAATGCATTTGATAATGTATTCGTTTGCATTCAACATTACTTTTTGGTCAATCGTAACATGTACGATTATGTGTAGCAGTGCGAGTAATTCAAACAAACGAGGCGACATTACACCGCGCATATAGCAGTAGCCTGTGAACGTAAATGTGGTACCAATCAGAACGTTACCCACGCTCGCACATAAATATTGATAAACGTTTGCCATGCTTCAATCAATATGACTGGGGCCAGCGACACACCGGCGGCCTCAAAGTCGCCGCTACATCGCTACCGTGCAGGGTGCATGTCGGCTGCACGCGTGTGTATCCCAGCTGCACGCGTGTGCCGCTTGCAGCCTGCAGTTCTGGCGTCGTGCGGGTGGGTAGGGAGAGGGAACAAACAGGGCAACTTGATAACGTAGGCTTCGATTGATATCGTTAATTGGATGTAATGGTTCCCTTTGAGGTTGTTTTCGTTGATTTATGCTGATTTGGTGACATTTTGAGATAAAAATGGGACATGTTTTTTTAAGGTTTCTCCACTTTTTTTTGGTAAATCTGTCGACAGCTTCACAGTCCGCTTTGTAAGCTCGCTGGTCGCGTCGCTACATTTCTGTACTGACGGCGGTTATCCGACTTGCCTATTGCTTTGAAGGATAGGCACCCGCACTCGGCATGTCACAACGAGCTTTGACCTCCAACTTGAGGGCCTTGTTGGTTCACCCCACATTTACCCCTTCCATCATTTTGCAATGCAAGCTTCGCAGCTCGCAATAAGCAAAGAAGAGTTGGTGCAGTTGGAGACTGTCATGCTAAGTTCCCCAAATAATCCTATTGTGAACCGACCTTGAAGCGATCTCCGCCCGTACCGCGCGCTAATTGCTATGTAAATGCAGAGCCCACCTAGCTCAGGCTTAGGTCACCGTATATCTTATCGTCTCTCTGATCCTTCATGGCGTTTCACCTTCCCGGTCGTCTATCGTCGATATCATTACCTTTCCCCCGGGAGTCGGGCCTCCCACTGCGACGGGTCGTGTTCGCTATACCTCCGCGGAGCTGTGCTCGTTCTCCGCACCGCCTGGCCACGGCTGGCCGCCCCAGCCAGCAGCGGCATCACAGCGCTGCCGCAGGATCGTGCCCGTTTTCTGCTCACTGCGCCAATGAACAATGTTCTCTGTTGTGGTTCCACTGAAGTTCATTGTGTGATGCCTGGCCAGTCGCCACGGGGCCTCCGGTTGGTCTGCCTCACTGCCAATTCGCTGGCTGTCGAGCCGCCTCGGGATTCGCTGCGGCCCAGTGCAGGGACTTTCTGTCCCGGCACTGAGCCTCTGTTGCACCGTTCAACTCTGGTGTGATGGGTGGTAGATCGGGATCACTGTGACACGGACTGCGATCCTTGTGTGGCCTCGGTCGACACAGAGGGCAGCAGCCGACAGCCGCTCCGCGCCCGTTCCCGAGCAGCTCTCCGAGGCGCAGGTGCTCCCTGAGGCGACGCTGATGTGATCCTCCACTCCGCCCAAGTTGTGCAGCGGGCCCACTTGTCTGTGCTCAGCCCAGTCGGCGAGACTAGACTGTAGGGCCCGTCCAGTCGCTGCAGTCCCTGTATACGTTTCCTGCTGCTGGAAGGCGAGGCCAGCCGCGATCGGGGCACTCCGCACCTGCAGCTGTGACGCAGTGAGGGCGGCTCCGCGGCGCTGGGCCGCACTGTGGTGCATGTAGCGCGGGGTGGT